ACACATCTCCCATCTCAAATGATTCCCCCCCGCTCCCCAACCATCATTGACTTAGTGGTCCCTTCTCTATTCCAGCTGCCTTCTACCCCAACTTATGAGGCAGGCTTCCAACTATGGAACAATCTTCCTGGTCCTTGTCTCTTCTGTCTCTGGGTGTCAGTCTTATATTGTGCTACTTTATATTCCACAAATGAGTGCAGTCATTTTATGTCTGTCTCTGTCTCACTCATTTCACTTAGCATGATACTGTCCATAACCATCCACTTTTAAGCAAATTTCATGACTTCATTTTTCGTAACAGCTGCATAGTATTCCATTGTGTAGATGTACCAAAGTTTCTTTAACCAGTCATCTGTCCTCAGGCACTCGGGTTGTTTCCAGATTCTGGCTATTGTGAACAATGCTGCAATGAAAATACAGGTGCAGATGTCACTTCTACTGTGCTTTTTTGCACCATTGGGATATATTCCCAGAAGTGGTATTGCAGGAGGACCAACTTCTTTTTCTTTCTTTCTTTCTTTCTTTCTTTCTTTCTTTCTTTCTTTCTTTCTTTCTTTCTTTCTTTCTTTCCTAACTTTGGGGCTCTTAAGTCTAAAAGGTACTTGTATAGTCAGTCATCAGCTGCTTCACTGAAAGATGCCTCCAGACATAGGATCAGATCTTTCATTGCTTTAGGTAACTATTAGGTAGCCCTTTAATAATAATGTTATTATAAACAGAACTGAAATGTTTGGGTTATTTGTAGTCTTGATCAGGAAATGAGAAAATGAAAAGAGAGTTCTTTAAAAAGAGGGCAAAGAACAAGGCGATATAATTGCACAGATACTTATTTTTTGCGGGGGGACACACCTGGCATTGTGTAGGGCCTTCTCCTGGCTCTGTGCTTAGGACTTACTCCTGGAGGGCTTGGGGGGACCTTATATGGTGTGGGGGATCAAACCCATGTCAGCCAAAGGCAAGAAACTTACCCGCTATACTATCTATGGATCCTACAGAGATATTTCTTGGTACTTCTAAGTAATATGAAAAGTAAGTTTAAGATTTCTTTGATGAAAGGAGCACTATTTTACTAACTGGTAGAAATGAAGTGAAGTGCCTGCTTTATTTAATATTCATGTTCCGTAGGTAAAACTTTTGGATGACAGGAAAATGTAAAACTAGGGACTTGTTGAGTAATGTAACCAGGATTATCCCTCTCAGAAAGAACTTTCATTTACTATAAGATCATGTCCTCAAATTGTTATGGTTACTTCAATCATTTGAATATTTGAATAATAACTTGTATCTCCCTCAATTTGGCTTAAGGCCCAGTATGTGTGTGTGTGTGTGTGTGTGTGTGTGTGTGTGTGTGTGTGTGTGCGTGCTCCTATTAAGCTTAAGAGTAATGTGTTGGTATGAGGATGAAGCTATACATGGTTTATGAAAGGGGCTATTGGACAGTGTCACCACCAGGTTCTCTCTCCTGTTGCCCTGTGAAATGTATTGGACTCCTCAAAGGAGGCCACAGAGGAGGCAGCTGGACCACCTGTTAACCCTTCCGGGGAGTTCACTCTTAGCACTCATTTCACCACCCTCTGGGATTTCACTTCCTGGAGCCTTTGTGAACTTGAAAATGGCCCTTCCTCTTAGAAAGATTAGAGGCTCCCGGAGTATGTGAAGTTGTAATTTTGAATTAAATAATATCAACAAAATAAACTTGGTCTCTATAACCTCAGCTCGAAATAAATCAAGTAGATGGGCTTCAGGAAGAGAATTTTGCTGTTTCATATTCCCATTTTGGTATTTTTGTTTGGTGTTTTTTAAAAAGAAAGAATGAGTATGTGTGTGTATTTTGTTTGTTTTGGTGGTATCTTTATTGAAATTCTACCTTGATTCAGAATCAGATTATTAGGGAATAAGGAAGAAAGGTTTAATTAGAAAGTCTGATGGGAAGAAGAAATTTGAATGACCAAAAGGCACATGAAAAAAAATGCTCTTCATCACTAATCATCTGGGAGATGCAGATCAAAATAACAATGAGATCTTATCTCACACCACAGCAACTGCCATACATCCAAAAGAACAAGTGCAGCCAGTATTGGTGTGGATGTGGGGAGAAAAGGACTCTCCTCCACTGTTGGTGGAAATACTGACCGGTTCAACTTTTTTGGAAAACAATATGGACGTTTCTCCAAAAACTAGAAACTGAGCTCCCATTTGAACTAGCAATACCACTTTTGGGAATATACCCTGGGGCCCAAAAACACACAGCAGAAACACCATCTTCACTCCAATATTCATGGCAGCACTATTCACCATAGCTATAATCTGGAACAACCTGAGTGCCCAAGAATAGACGAATGGATAAAGAAACTATGGCACATCTATACAATGGAATATTATGCAGCTTTTAGGAAGAATGAAGTCATGAAATTTGCCCCAGATAGATGGACATGGAGAGTATCATGCTAAGTGAAATGAGTCAGAAGGAGAGGGACAGATACAGAATGACAGCATTCATTTGTGGTATATAAAAAATATATAGTAGAAGACTAATATCCATGGCCAGGGAAAACGGGTTATGAGGGCTAGTCACTGGTTAGAACTAACCACAAGTTTGTGTGGGGCTGAGAGTAGGTAAGATAGAGAAGAGACCAGTATGACAATCACTGTCATTGTTAACTGTGTTTAGCATATCGAATACGTCACGGGTAGCATGCCAGGCTTTGCTGTGCGGGCAAGATACTCTCAGTAGCTTGCAGGGCTCTCCGAGAGGGGCAGAGGAACTAAACCCAGGTTGGTCAGGTTGGCTGCGTGCAAGGCAAACACCCTACTGCTGTGCTATCGCTCCAGCCCAGTATGACAATAATAGCTGGGAATTATCACGCTGGACAAGATCTGAGGGTTAAAAGCAGGTAAAGGGATATTCTTGATAACCTTTCAGTATCAGTATTGCAAATCACAATGCACAAAAGGGACAGGGGGAGGGGGAGAGAGAGAAAGCAAGTGCCTGCCATAGAGGCGGAGGTGGGGGGGGGGGTGTTGGGAGGGAACCTGGAGACACTGGTGCTGGGAAATGTACACTGGTGGAGGGATGGCTATTGAAACACTGTATGACTGAAATCCAATCATGAACAGCTTTGTAAGGGTCTATCTCACTTTTTAATAAAAAAGTTAAAAAAAAGAAACTCTGATGGGGCTCTGAGAGATAGCACAGTGGGTAAGATGCTCGCCTTGCACATGGCCAACCTGGGTTCAATCCCCAGCATCCCATATGCTCCCCAGAGCACTGCCAGGAGTGATTCCTGAGTGCAGAGCCAGAAGTAAACCCTGAGTACCCTGGGTATGGCCCAAAAATAAAAACAAAAAAGAAAGGCTGAGAGAAAAGTTATTTCATGCTCTGAATGTAATTTTTCCTTTAACTTCCTTTAAAAAAATCTTTTCCCTTTCCCTTCTTTTGGCTCTGTGGTGTGCTGGGTGTGGTGTTCACGCCCTGGGCTATTGCACTTGTGGCAGCTGCATAGCGCCTTTTAGTTGCAGTGCTTGCTGTACCCCACCTGGAACATTAATTAATTTTGTTTGTTTGTTTTGGGCCACACCCAGTGGTGCTCAGAGTTTACACCTTGCTCTGCACTCAGGGATCAGTCTTTTTTAAATTGTTTTAATTATGTTTCAAAGCTATCTGCAAGTTGTAAGTTAGTCAAAAGTGTAGAATTGATACAGTGATTCCACTTTTGTACTTGTGAGCCTTTTACAATTATTTACAAAAAGTACTCACTTAGTTAAAATATAGCTTAATAGAAAACATGTGTCTGACTCCTGGCTCTGTAATTATGAAACATAATTTGAACTTGTTTAACTTACACATGATAATTTATATTCAGCTTTATTTGGATTATTGTTTAACTTTGTTTCCAAAGCAATGACTTCAAGTACCATTTTTTTTCTTGTGTAACTTAATTCTAGAGCATAGTCCATAGGCAGGCAACATGGCTCACCTTTTCTCTCCTTTTTTTTTTTTCATTGAATCACTGTGAAATAAAAAGGTGTTCATAACTGGTTTTCAGTCATACAATGTTCCAGCACCCATCCCTTCACCACTGTGCATTACCCACCACCAGTGTCCCCAGTTCCCTCCCGCCACCTCTGCCTGCCTCTGTAGCAGACATTTTTCTTTTCTCTCTCTGTCTCTGTCTGTCTCTCTCTCTGTCTCTGTCTCTCTCATTTTAGGTATTGTGGTTTGCAATACAGGTACTAAAAGGTAACATTTACCTCCTTTCAGCACTCAGCTCTTATCCAGAGTGATCATTTCCAACTATCATTGTCATACTGTTTCCTTTTCTATCCTGCCTGCCTCTGTAGCAGACATTTTTCTTTTCTCTCTCTCTGTCTCTGTCTGTCTCTCTCTCTGTCTCTGTCTCTCTCATTTTAGGTATTGTGGTTTGCAATACAGGTACTGAAAGGTAACATTTACCTCCTTTCAGCACTCAGCTCTTATCCAGAGTGATCATTTCCAACTATCATTGTCATACTGTTTCCTTTTCTATCCTAATTGCCCCGCCCAACTTGTGTCAAGGTTCCTATCATGGACCAGCCCTCCTGACCCTGATTTTTACTGTTTGGGGGGGTATTAGTCTCATACCATGGGTTTTGTTCTTGGTGTTTTTTGTTTGTTTTTTTATCCTGCAAATGAGTACAACCATTATGTCTGTCCCTCTCTTTCATTTCACTTAGATACGCTACATGTCCATATGTGGCTCACCTTTTAAATATGATTCTACTTTCCTCTCTATGGAAGAGTCACAGAGCATGGATGTTTTATGTCCAGTATTTTGTGTTGCAAAGTTTTCTACTTGGATAGTTGTTCTTTCTTTAAGAATTATATTGATAATATGACATAAAAGGAAAAGAACTCGAGACAGTATCTATTTGTAAAAAGTGAACTTATAAACAAAAAATGGTGTACTTTTTCCTGGGTAATTGATATTTTGTGTTTTATTTTTCTTTTTTGGCGGGAATAGGTCATAGCAAATGACAGAAGTCCCTTGGTGGGTAAAATCCACTGGGAAAAAATGGTGAAAAAAGTATCAAGATTTGGAATACGTACAGGCACTTTTAACTGTTCCAGTGACCCCAGGTGAGTTGATTAAGCAATTCCAGATATAAGTGCTAACCAGAATTTGTTTCCTTTTTTTTTTTTTCTTTTGCTTTTTGGGTCACACCCGGTGGGACTCAGGGGTTACTTCTGGGTCTATACTTAAGAATTACTCCTGGTGGTGCTCAGGAGACCATATGGGATCCCAGGGATCGAACCTGGATTGACCTCGTGCAAGGCAAATGCCCTATCTGCTGTACTGTCACTCTGGCCCCAGAATTTATTTGTTAAATAAATTAAGAGAATGATTTTAGAAAACAGTTTGAACTGGCAACAATTATAATGTTTAGCACACAGATTCGCAGATACTTAATCAAACATTTTTTGTGAACTTGCAATTTCTCTGAGCTCTTGTTCTCTGATTCTGTTCTTTCAAAAGGGGAGTTTACCCAGTAAAGACTGTGTTTTCAGGGATCAGACAGACAGTATGTATAGGAGTTAGAGCAATTGCATGGCACATGACCAACCTCAGTTCAACCCAGGACACTACCTGGTGCCCTGCACACCACCAGGGATAACCTCTGAGCATAGAGCCAGAAGTACTCCATGAGCACTACTGGGTGTGGCCCAAATCTCCTATCTCCTACATTTCTTTAGCCCTTTGTTTCTGTTTTCTCTGCTATATGAGTATCCCTAGATATACCCTTTTCCTTAAAACTGGTTCCCAAATTGAGATTCACCTTCTTTCCCTTTAATCTACCAAGTGCCCTTTCTACCTTTATTTTTATTTTCTTTATGGCTGTTTTTATTTTCTTATAGGAATTTTTTTCACTCTCAGTTTTCTTTTTTTTTCTTTTTTTCTTTTTCTTTTTTATTTTTTTATTAGTGAAACACCATGAGGTACAGTTATAGGCTTACAAATTTTTGTGCTTGGGTTTCAGTTATACAATGATCAAGTACCCATCCCTCCACCGGCGCCCATCCTCCACCACCACGGGTCCCAGCATCCCTTCCACTCCCCCATCCCCCCCATCCCACCCTGCCTCTGTGGCAGGGCATTCCCCCTTGTTCTCTCTTTCTTCTTTTGGGTCCTGTGTTTTGCAAGCCTCTCAGTTATTTCTTGTTTGTTTTCCATTATGTCTTCTTTGAGATGCTTCTAGTGACTAGAAATTTTGGTTTCTAGTGATACAAAGCAATAATGTTGGTACATTCATTTAATTAACCTCTTTTGTTATTGTTGCTTTAAAGTTTTTATTGCAGTAACAGTGATTTACAAGAGAGAAATGATTTGTTTGTTATTTTTTAGGAGTACAATGTTACCACACTACAACCACCACCTTTAATTAGCCTCTTAAAATATTAATGAAAGATGTTTAGTGCTGCTCCAGAGGGCACATATGATACTGTTTCTATTACAGATTTGATTGCATGGCTTAGGGGATTTATGTCTCTCAGATGTGTTGGCCACAATGGGAGGCCATAGAAAACCAGCCTGAACCACTGCTACACCTCTGATTCTCCTGCCTTGCTCTTTTCATCCCAGTTTGCACCAACTCTCACTGTACTTGTTTTGCAAACATAGGAGATATATGGTAGAAGGACCCCAAAGAGTTGGTGATAAGAAGGGAAGTTTTTGTGTGTCCTAACACGTTCTGTTTTCTATGTACTCCAGTATATGTTAGTATATTTTTTCTAGCTTTTCTTCTGAAAAAGTCCTTTTTATTTGATATTAATAGGAATGTTAAAGAGATCAAAGATATTTTTGAGCAGCTTTTGCTTTTTTGGTTGATTGCAACTGTAATATTTTGTTCCTAAAAAACAGTTTTTCTTTATCTTCAGTTTCATTACACAGTTGAATATTTTGGTACACAGTTACTTGTTTCAGTTTTAATTTTCTTATGTTCATGTTTCCTTTTATCTTTCTGAAAAGGCTTCGAACTGGAGTAAGAGCTATTCTTGTCACAGAAGCTGTGCTTAGTCAGGGTTTCCTTTTTTCTATTTTCTTTAAAATTATGGAGGGATAAAAGATACCCCCAAAAGAGTGTTGACAATGTCAGTGCAGTACTCGAGAGACAGTATCGGAGTTACCTCTTGCATCTTCCCACCCCAATTCAACTCCCTGGCAGTGCATATGGTCTCCCCAGTACTGCCAGGAATGTCCCCTGAGCACTGTTGGTTGTGTCCCCAAATACCAAACAATAAAAACAGAATGTTACTGTGGGGTGTAACTGGGCAGAGAATACCGTTATTCAGTAGGATGTGTTTCAACCCCATGTTGAATAGTTATCATCTTGATCTCAATTTTTTTTTAATGCTGAAAACCTCTTTTTCACCATCACTATCACTATCCTCCTGTTGTTTATCAATTTGCTCGAGCGGGCCCAGTAACGTTGTGAAACTTGTTACTGTGTTTGGCATATTGAATATGTCGCGGGTAGCTTGCCAGGCTTTGCTGTGTGGGCGAGATACTCTCGTTAGCTTGCCGGGCTCTCCGAGAGGGGCAGAGGAATCGAACTCGGGTTGGCCATGTTGGCTGCGTGCAAGGCAAATGCCCTACCGCTGTGCTATTGCTCCAGCCCCTTTTTCACCATATCATTATTATTGTCATAACATGTTGCCGTTACTTATCTTCAATTAGATCACAAAATTCCTGAGAAAATTAATATCATCATTAAAAGACATATGCCATATACATCAAGACTCCTTTCTCTTTATTGATTACATATGTACATAATATACTTATTTAATAAACTATGATATATGTACATTGCAAAGCATAGCACTTAATGATGGGGGGTGGGGCAGGGAAGGGTTGTTGGGCCACACCCAGCTCTGCTTAGGGTTTATTCCTGACTATATGTTGAGGGATCACTCCAGGTGGTGCTGAGGGGAACATATATAGTGCCAGGAATTAAATCTTGGTTGGCCTTAAAGAGGTAAGGTTTGTGCCTTGACCTCGATACCTCTGGCTGCACTTAATGAATTTTACATCAACATAATAGCAAAATAAGAAATCAAACATAGTTATCACCTGTTCACAAATCTAAGTGAACAAAATGCATCTCCATGGTATTTTTTTCTTTTTCAAAACTTTATTGACTTGTCATTTAAAAACTATATTTTAAATACCACAAAATTCCACAGATAAGTTTTTAGGAAAAAATACTTTAAAAGAAATAGAAAATGTTTTCACTTATATTCCCATTGTGAAACAACTGTTTTCATTTTTTCCTTCTCACTAGTTAATCTAGTTTGGGAGGAGGAGAGACATGTCACACCTAGAACAAGAAAAATCTGTCTTTTTCCAAAATAATTTTCAGTAATGACCTGATGGATAAATCTAAGCAAATGTTGTAATTAAATTCTTTTGTACTTGGCCAGCTGGCAAATGAGAGTCATCCTTTGACTTAAATCTTTTTTATCTTCTAACTTGCTATCTTTGTTTCCTTCATATTAAATTCTCCTTTCTTGTTTGCATGAAGAATATAAGAGAATAAGACAAACTATAGAGTTTGCTTCATAGAGCTTTTTTTTTTTTTTTTGCAAAGCCTGGGAAGCTCCCTGTGGCATATTCGATATGCCAAACACAGTAACAAGTCTCACGATGGAGACGTTACCGGGCCGCCCCAGCAAATCGATGAACAATGGGAGGACAGTGCTACTTTTTTATTTTAATTTTATTGAATCACCATGAGATAGGTACAAGTTTTCATGTTTGGGTTACAATCACACAGTGATCAAACACCCATCCCTCCACCAGTGCATATTCCCTACCACCAATATCCCTGGTATAACCCCCCTTTCCCACCCGCCCCCTGCCTCCATGGCAGACATGATTCGCCATAATCTCTACTTTTGGGCATTACGGTTTGCAGTACAGACACTGAGAGGTTATCGTGTTTGGTCCTTTATCCACTTTCTGCACACATCTCCCATCCCAACTGATTCCTCTAGCCATCTTTTTCTTAGCGATCCCTTCTCTATTCCAGCCGCCTTCTCCCCTTTGCTCATGAGGCAGGCTTCCAGCTATGGAGCAATCTATCTGTCCCGTGTATCTACTATGCTTAGGTGTCAGCCTCATGTTATGTTGTTTTATATTCTTCATAGAGCTTTAAGCACCTTATTTTGAAACAGTGCCCTTAAATGTCAGGTATTGTGGTATGTGCTGTATTTAAAAATGGGCAATTAGTAAAATTACTAAATGCAATACATTTTTCTGTGTTTTAATAGAATTTAATAACTTACCAACTTGAATTTCTGGCTTTTGGATCTTAGCATATAGTATAGTAGTAAGTATATAAATGTCAGTGATACAGATACAATAATATAAATGTTGAAGTATTTGCTGCTTCCCTTGACTTAAAGACTTTTCAAGGCATACTTTTCTCTAAAAAAAAAAAAAAAACTTAGAGATAAAAAAAACAAAACCCAAAAACCCTACCAAAAAAATGAACAAAATGCAAAAAAAGTGTTTGCTTTTTATCTTGTATAACTCCAAGAATTGCTATTACTTTTGCTAATTTGGAGTTTCTTTGGTTTGGGAGACAGGGTATTCTTCAAACAGTAAACAAACCTATCATGTGAAAACAAGTTATCTGCAGAACATAAAGATGATTTAGTAGCCTAGGTGCTTACTTGTAATTTTCTCTCTTACAGATACTGCAGGAGAAGAGGCTGGGTAAGATCCACACTCATTATGTCTGTTCCACAAACAAGTACTTCTAAAGGGAAAGTTATGCTTAAAGAATACAGTGGACGCAAGATTGAAGTAGAGCACATTTTTAAGTGGATAACTGCTCATGCAGCCTCTCGGATCAAAACTATTTATAATGCTGAACATTTGAAACAAGAATGGAATAAAAGTGATCAGTATTGGGTAAAAATATACCTGTTTGCAAACCTTGATCAACCCCCAGCCTTCTTCTCTGCACTCAGTATAAAGTTTACTGGAAGAGTTGAGTTTATTTTTGTTAATGTGGAAAATTGGGACAACAAGAGTTATATGACAGATATTGGTGTATATAATATGCCATCGTACATCCTTAGAACTCCTGAGGGAATTTACAGATACGGAAACCACGCAGGTGAATTTATATCTCTTCAGGCCATGGATTCTTTTTTGCGCTCATTACAACCTGAAGTAAATGATTTGTTTGTTTTGAGCCTGGTTCTTGTTAATCTTATGGCTTGGATGGACTTATTTATAACACAAGGAGCCACCATAAAGCGATTTGTGGTTCTCATAAGCACTTTAGGGACATATAATTCTTTGTTAATTATTTCCTGGCTACCTGTGTTGGGCTTTTTACAGCTCCCTTACTTAGATAGCTTTTATGAATATAGCTTAAAATTGTTGAGATACTCCAATACAACCACACTAGCTTCATGGGTAAGGGCAGACTGGATGTTTTATTCTTCACACCCAGCCCTGTTTCTTAGTACATACCTTGGACATGGTTTACTCATTGATTACTTTGAGAAGAAGAGACGGCGCAACAACAACGATGAAGTCAATGCTAATAACTTAGAATGGTTATCAAGTCTGTGGGACTGGTACACCAGCTACCTCTTCCACCCGATTGCTTCCTTCCAGAACTTTCCTATAGAATCTGATTGGGATGAAGACCCTGATTTATTCTTGGAGCGGTTAGCTTTCCCTGACCTTTGGCTTCACCCTCTGATACCTACTGACTATATAAAAAACTTGCCAATGTGGCGATTTAAATGTCTTGGAGTCCAGTCTGAAGAAGAAATGTCAGAGGGTTCTCAAGACATTGAAAATGACTCAGACAGCGAGAGCACAGACACTTTTAGCAGTGAGAAGGAAGTATTTGAAGATAAGCAAAGCATGGTTCACAATTCTCCTGGAAGAGCAAGTCACTGTGATGCTGAGGCTTGTTCATGTGCCAATAAATATTGTCAGACCAGCCCATATGAAAGGAAGGGGAGATCGTATGGATCCTATAGCACTAATGAAGATATGGAACCTGATTGGTTAACTTGGCCTGTTGATATGCTGCACTGTACTGAATGTGTTGTTTGCCTAGAGAATTTTGAAAATGGATGTTTGCTGATGGGATTGCCTTGTGGTCATGTGTTCCACCAGAATTGCATTGTGATGTGGTTGGCTGGGGGCCGACACTGTTGCCCTGTTTGCCGGTGGCCTTCTTATAAAAAAAAGCAGCCATATGCACACCACCAGCCCTTGTCAAATGATGTCCCATCTTAACATGTGCAATTTGTCCTTTATAAGCTTTGAGTATCTTACAGCTTGCCTTTTAATGTTAGTCACAATGTTTTTGTGGTTTGAAGTTTAGTTTAATGTTAGTGCAGTGACAGGAAATACCCATTATGCTAATGTTGATGACAATTATTTGGTTGCCTTGTATGTCAATTGAATGCATATTTAATTGTAAAAATTTTTTATTTACAACATTGGAAATTCAGAAGTTAATGTTTTTTTTGTAAGCACAAAAGAAGTATGATAAAAATTTTATCCTGCAAGACTTTACAAGGTAGGATCAAATTCTAATGGAACTGAGGTGGTTTCTTATTCTAAATGTTTCTTCCCTTTTTACAATCTCTGTCCAGCACCTCTTGGTTAAATAATGTATGCTCTGAGACATGAAATTAAAACAGACCTACGAAATAAATTATTTTAAAAACCAGAAGATTACAGATTTTCCATTGTCAAATTGCTTTTCATAAAATAGCTTTCGGGTATTTTACTGGTTAATTTCACAGGTAAGTTAAACTTGATTGCAGTGAGGGGGTGGGAAGTGGTGGAAAGGGACAAATTATGTTACTAATTCTGGCCAGAAATGGTATTAATATATGTTAACTCATCTTTTTGTTTGATAAGCTTTGTTAGGAAGGAATTTCATGGTTGACTCTTAAAAGATAATTAAAATCATTTATATTCAGTGTATTTAAATCAGCTGTAGCATTTTAGCTGCATGGAATTTGTTTTTCCTGGCTTTCAAGAAATTTCAAAGCTATAGAAAATTTATATATACAATACAATGAACTTTCAATTATCTGATTTCGCCAAATGGTGAATTATGTTTGGATCATTTTATGTATGTATATATTTAATTTTTATTCAGTTTAGGCTTTTTCCTTACCCATTTGAAAATAAGGTTAAGTCATCATGAGGCATCACCATTAACTATATCACTATATGTTTCTTACAAACAGGACATAAATAAAATCACCACACAATTATCACACTGAAAGAAATTAAAAATTGATTCAGTAATATCTAATATGAGGGTATATTCAGAGGTATAGTACAGCAGGTATGGTGCTTGCCTTGCATATAGCCGACCTGGGTTCAATCCCCAGCACCTGTTATAGTTCTCTGAGCCCTCCAGGAATAATCCCTGAGTGCAGAAACAGGAGTAAGCCCTGAGAACATCCTTATGTGACCCACAAAATAACATGAAATCCATACCTCCCAATGCCCCCCCAAATATCCTTTATATTCTTACTATGAATATTCATGCTTTGCTCTTAGACCCTTTTATCTCTTTTCTAGTGGTTCCTCTGCTTTTCTGAGACTAAGCTTATGGTTTGCTTCAGGCTCTGTGATGAGAATTCACTCTGACAGGACTTAGGGACCATATGTCATGGTGGAAATAGAACCTGGGTTGGCTGCATACACGTCAATAACCATACCCACTGGGTATCTCTCAACCCACTGGACTACTATCTCTCTGACCCCTTGCTTTTATTTTATTTAAAAAATTTTTTAATGAATCACCGTGAGACACCGCTACAAAGCCTTCATGATTGAGTTTCAGTCATACAATGATCGAACACCTATTCCCTCCACCAGTGTACAATTTCCACCACCCATGTCCCCAGTAACCCTCCCAACACCCCCATCCCACCCCACCCCCTGCCTCTGTGGCAGGCACTTTCCTTCTTTCTTTCTCCCCATACCTTGGGGCAGTATGGTTTGCAGTACAGAAACTGAGAGACCAATCATGTTTGGTCCTTTTGTCTACTTTCAGCACACATCTCCCATCCCAAGTGATCCCTCCAATCACCATTGACTTAGTGGTCCCTTCTCTATTCCAGCTGCCTTCTCCCCCAGCACATGAGGCAGGCCTCCAAATTGTGGAGCAGTATTCCTGGTCCTTATCTCTACTGTCCTTAGGTGTTAGACTCATATTATTTCATGTTCCACAAATGAGTGCAGTCATTCTGTCCCTCTTTTTCTAACTCATTTCACTTAGCATGATATTTTGCATGTCCATCCACTTATAAACAAATTTCATGACTTCATCTTTTCTAACACATGCATAGTATTCCATTGTGTAGATGTACCAAAGTTTCTTTAACCAGATTCTGGCTATAGGGAACAGCGCTGCAATAAACACACAAGTGCAGATGTCATTTCAACTGCTTTTTTGCACCCCCGAGATATATTTCCAGAAGTCGTATTACTGGGTCATATAGAAGCTCAATTTCCAGTTTTGTGGGAAATGTCCATATTGTTTTCCAAAAAGACTGGGTCAGTCCAACAGTGAATGTGAATCTCTTTCTCCCCTCATTCGTGCCAGCACTGGTTGCTCTCGTTCTTTTTGATGTATGCCAGTTCTCTGTGATCCACGATGGTGATATCTCATTGTTGTTTTAATTTGCAGCCCCTAATGATTAACGATGTAGAGCATTTTTCCATGTGCCTTTTGGCCATTTTTTTTTGAGGAAGTTTTTATTCATTTCTTCTCTCTGTTCTTTGATGGGGTTGGAGGTTTTTTTCCTTGTTACCAGTGTCATATATCCTAGATATTAACTCCTTATCTGATGGGTATTGGGTAAATAATTTTTCCCATTCCATGAGCTCTCCCTGTTTTGTCACCTTTCTTTTGAGGTGCAGAAGCGTCTTAGTTTAATGTAATTCCATTTGTTTATCTTTGTTTCTACTTGCTTGGTCAGTGGTGTTCATCCTTAAAGATGCCTTTAGCTTCAGAGTCATGGAGCATTCAGCCCACATTTTCCTCTGTGTACCTTATGGGTTCACTTCTAATATTTAGGTCTTTAATTCAATTTTATCTGACTTCTTTGCCTGGCATTAGAGGTCTGAGTTCTTTTTTTTTTGCTTGTAGCTGTCCAGTTTTCCCAGCACCACTTGTTGAAGAGGCTTTCCTTGCTCCTTTATCAAAGATTAATGATCATATATTTGAGAGTCTTTGTCAGAATATTCAACTCTATTCCATTGGTCTGCAGGTCTGTTTCTATTCCAATACCATGCTGTTTTAATTACTACTGCTTTCTAGTACAGTTTGATGTTGGGAAAGGTGATGCCACCCATCTTCTTTTCCCCAAGGATTGCTTTAACTCTTCACTAGGGTTTATTGTTCCATATGAATTTCAGGAGTGTTTTGTCTATTTCTTTGAAAAATGTCGTGGGTATCCTTATAGTGATTGCATTGAATCTGTATAATGCTTTGGCGATCCTTATAGGGATCACATGGAATCTGTAAAATGCTTTGCCATTTTGATAATGTTAATCCTCACAATCCATGAACAGTGATGTATCTCCATTTCCTAGTGTCCTCTTTTATTTCTTGAAGTAATTTTTTGTAGTTTTCTTTGTATAGGTCCTTTACTTCTTTAGTTAAGCTGAATACAAGGTACTTGATTTTCTGAGGCAGTATTGTGAACAGGATTTTATGTATATATATATATATATATATATATATATATATATTTTCTCTTTCATTGTTTGTATATAGGAAAACCATGGACTTTGGGGTATTGATTTTGTAGCCTGCCACTTTGCTATACAAACCTATTGTTTCTAGGAACTTTTCTATAGAGTTTTTAGAATTTTCTAAGTATGTCATCTGCAAATAGTCATGGCTTGACTTTTTTTTTTCTGTATCTGAATGCCCTTGATATCTTTTTCTTGCTTAGCTGCTATGGCAAGTACTTCCAGTACTATATTGAATAGAAGTGGTGAGAGTAGGCAACCTTGTCTTGTCTCCAATCTTAAAGGGGAGGCTCTTAGTTTTTCTCCATTGAGAATAATGCTTACTATGGGCTTGTGGTAAATGGCTTAGACTATATTGAGGAAAGTTCCTTCAACTCCCATTTTTTTATAGTTTTCATCATCAACAGGTGCTGGATCTTGTCAAATGCTTTCTCTGCATCTATTGATATGATCATATGTTTTTATCTTTTCTTTTATTGACATGGTGTATTATGTTAATTGACTTGCAAGTTTTGAATCATTCATGTATGATTGATTTGATTTGATTTGATTGATTTGATTTGATAATGTTAATCCTCCCAATCCATGAGCAGTGATGTATCTCTGAATCCTATTTGGTTGTGGTATGATCTTTTTTGGTGAGTATTTGGATTCTGTTTGCTAGTATTTTCTTGAGGATCTTTGCATCTGTGTTCATCAGGGATATCAGCCTCTAATATTCTCTCTCTCTCTCTCTCTCTCTCTCTCTCTCTCTCTCTCGGTATCTCTGTCTGCTTTTGGTATTAGATTGGTATTTGCTTCATAGAAACTGTTTGGAAGTATTTCTGTTTCTTTAATTTCCTGGAAAAGTTTGAACTGGATTGAGAGTAGGTCCTCTTTAATTGGAAAGACTCACTAGTGAATCCGTCTGGGCCAGGGATTTTGTTTTTTGGGAGACTTTTGATTACCATTTCAATGTTCTTGATAGTGATAGGTCTGTTCAGGTATTCCAAGTCTTCTTGGGTCAGCTTTGGGAGATTATAGAAATCCAGGAATTTATCCATTTCTTTGAGGTTCTCTTGCTTCATGGCATAAAGATTCTCACAGTAATCTCTGATTATTCTTTGAATTTCTGTGTTTTCTGTCATGATGTCCCTCTTTTTATTTCTGGCTCTGTTTATTAGGGTCCCACTCTTTCTTTGTGAGTCTTGCTAGCGGTTTTATCAATCTTGTTTATTTTTAATTTTATTTTTCATAAAGTTTTTTACAATAATAGATTACATTCAATATTTCAACACCAATCCCACCACCATTACACCTTCCCACCACAATTATTTCGAACTTGCCCACCACCACTCAAGCCTGCACCACAGGCAGATGCTAGATAATTTATTTTGTATTGCTTGTTATGAATAGCATGAGATGTGCAGCTGCATACTCCAGGAATTCTAAAATTTTAAATTGGGGTCTGGAGACATCTCTGCAGTGAGCTTCTTAGTTCTGAGATTCATTTGTGAGTCTCTGGGTCATGACCATTAATGCGCTTAAATGGCATCAGGAGACAGTTCGTGGGCGTGACAGCCAGGACCCTAAAGGGGCTATCCATCCCTAATCCCTTGAGACCTGGAGTTTTCGGTCACTGGTACCATGTACCTAGATTTTTCCTTGAGTTCTGGAGGTTTGTGGCCATCAGGATTCATATGGGGCAAGTGGAGGGACAACGGCCTGCTCCCATCTGAGACACCCCAGTGAAACTGACCAGTTGCAAGGTCTGGAACATCTCTGGGCAAGCTGCTCAGTTCTGAGATTCATTTGTGAGTCTCTGGATCATGGTCATTAATGCACTTCAATCTTGTTTATTTTCTCAAAGAACCAGGTCTTGGCTTCATTGATCTTTCAGATTGTTTTTTTGGGTTTACATCTCATTAATTTCTGCTCTAAGTTTTATTATTTCCTTCCTCCTACCTGATTTGGGC